TCTCTCTCAGATTAGCTGCCTGAGATTAGTCAGAACAGAGAGGGAGAGCTACTCCAAAAAAAATAATTTCAGCTTCCGTGCTATCATCAATTGGTTTTTATCAGTAGTCTACAGTACAAGGGCCAATGGTTATTTTCATGTGTAGAACAACAAATGACTATCTCCATTTTAGAGTAAACTGGTTTCCAGGAACTGTAGGAAAAGCATTATTATTCATTTGTAGTGGGGTGACATTGTTAACAACAGTCCATGTGCTTAAGAGGCACAGAATCACACCGCCCCATCCAGTAGTAAGACTCATAGTCTTGTACCGAAGTCCATTGTGCTTCCTCCTCACTGCATCCACCTCCATCCACTTCCTGTTGCCCCAATTCCATAGTCAGATTTCTAGGGTTGCTTATGGTTTGGGTTTGTATGACTGTATTTTGTTTCTCTAGCCTACATATAGGTGGAAACATCTGGTATTTGTCTTTGTCCTTTGGACTGATTTTGCTTAGTATAATCCCCTCCAGTCCCATTCATGTTGTCACAAATGGCATAGTTTCTGTAGCTGAGTAGTAGGCCATTTTGCATGTGTACATTTGTGTAATACAACTCTTGTCTTCTCAGGCAGTTAGGCTGTTTCCATCACTGGCTATTGTCAATAGTGCTGTAATGAACTTAGAGGTGCATAAGGATATCATTGTTTTTAAAATGAAAAGTAAAGATAGGGTCTTCTACGTTTACACTAGAAGCTTCCAGAATTACTATGAGGGGATTTATTTGGAAAAGGGAGTAAAGAAAAATTGGAGTTACCGGGGTCAGGGAAAGTAGAGCTGAGTTCAGGTGTGGCTACATGTCAGCTCAGGTGGTCAGTGAAGCAAGCATAAAGTGATTTTTACATTTTCTTCCCTTCCCTTCCCTTCCTAAGGTAACACTCCAGTGATAGGCTAGTCAGTAGAAGAATGTTGGGTTCTAGTTAATTAAAGTATCTCATTAATTTATGTTCTTCCTGGGAAATGGAATGAAATGCTGGCAGGACACTTCTAAAGCTCGGTGTTTGCTGTACTCCCGTGTGCATTTATAGTAGAGAAACCTCACGGGTCCTCTTTGGTCAGTTGTGTGTCTTGCCTATTAGTCAGCTTTAGCCAGAAGTCTTTTTAAACAGAGGGTGAGAAACCCTAGAATTGAGGAGTCCGTGGATGTGAGTTGGGGGTCAAATGTTCGTATGTCAAAAAACACTACTCTAGGATGACCTAAAAGGGTCCCCCTTTTTTTTTCCTTAAAAAATAAAGCCATGTCTGAGAAGGGTCCCATTTTTTTCCTTAAAGGATAAAACCTCTGAGAAGAATCTGTTCCAGCTCTTTCCATGTTGCTGTGGTTGGCCTGAGTTTGTTTTCTCATTGCTAAATAGTATTCTATTGTGTATAGACACCACAGTCATGTGTTTTGGGGCATTTGGGTTGTTTTCCTACCTCATCTATTGTAAATAGTGCTGCAATAAATATAGGGGTGCAGATATCCTTTATGAATGAATGATTTTGTGTCCTTTGGGTAGATCTGTAGTAATGGAATTGGTGGGTCATATGGAAACTCTATTTTAGTAATGTGGTAAAAAATACCAGTAGTTTCACTTATGAGAGGAATATAGGGAAACAAATAAGGGACCAGAAAGGAAAAATAATAATCAACAAAATTAACAGGCAAGTGTTCATCAGAGACTTGTGCAGGGGTGGGGGAGGAGTAGGGATCAAAATAGGGGAGGGAATACGTTCTCACAAGGGGCTATGGTGATGTTGTACGGGTAAATTGGTGGTGGGAAGAATGATATAAAATGTATCTGAAATAAAATATAATTTTAAAAAACTGTGGCATTGGCGTTTATTCTAATATCCCAACATTTTGTTGTGATCATCAACCAGATGTGTTGTGCTTTTCCCTGCCCTGTTTTGACCCCTGTTCCTCCCCCTCCCCTGCTGGCCATAGATGAGTCACTGACTCTGTAGCAAAGTGGAAAGACATGCTTGTGTAAGTTCTATGGGCTTTGAATGTTTCGCTAAATTTTGTCCCATATAAATTTTGTAATCATGGAAGAGGAAAAAAAAAAAACTTTATTCATGAAGAACATTGGGCTTTTTTTTGATGTTTTATCAGGAAATAAAATCATGTTTTTTAAATATTAAATCTTTATTGAGGTATCCTTGGACTACAACAGTGTATAGTGTAGGGTTATCGGTTCAGTATATTTCATGGGGCTCCCTCCCCGCCGCCCTTTGGTCTCTGCACCCCTGTTCATTGTTTACATCTAAGGCAAGTTCATGTTGGCCTATTTCAAGTTATGGCATTTGAAAGCAGTGTCTCAGATTCATTGAAAATACTTCATGGGGCGCAGTGATTGAATTTCACAAACTAACCCTACATCAAGTATTTCGCAGGTGTTATGCACCCGGTTTTGTGCTTTCCATCCTGAACTAGTCTGAAAGGAGAAGCGAAGAGTTAGTGAAATGCGTTAATGGGGCCATCTAGCTGATTAGGTTTAGGTGGTCTTAAAGACCTTGTTTTCAGGGCCTGCCCATCCTATTCCTATTGCGTCAGTTTCCAGCTCCTTAATAGGTGCGCTGAAACTTAATAGGGACCCTGAAACACACTAGGTTGGAGGCCTCTCCGGTGGCACAGGGGGTTAAGGCTCAGTGCTAGCAATGCAAAGGCTTGAGTTCGAACCCCAGCCAGGGAGCCCAAACGCAGTGTATGGTGCAGCAGACAAGGACAAGTAGTGTATCCTGTTGCGGAGGGGGAGGGGGAGAAAGACGGGGAGGGGGGAGAAAGACGGGGGGAGGGGGGGAGAAAGACGGGAGGGGGAGGGGGAGGGGGAAAGGGGGGAGGGGGAGGGGGGGAGGGGGAGGGGAGGGGAGGGGGGAGGGGGGGAGGGGGGGAGGGGGGGAAGGAGGGAGGGGGGGAAGGGGAGGGGAGGGGGAGGGGGGGAGGGGGGGGGAAGGGGGGAGGGGAGGGGAAGGGGGAGGGGGAGGGGAAGGGGGGGAGGAGGGGAGAAGACAGACGGGGGGGGGGGGAGGGGAGGAAGACAGACAGGGGAGGGGAGGGGGAGGGAGGGAGGAAAGACAGACAGGGGAGGGGAAAGGGGGGGAGGAGGGGAGGAAAGACAGACAGGGGAGGGAAAGGGGGGAGGGAGGGGAGAAAGACAGACAGGGGAGGGGAGGGGGGGGGGAGGGAGGAAAGACAGACAGGGGAGGGGAAAGGGGGAGGGAGGGGAGGAAAGACAGACAGGGAGGGAAAGGGGGGGGAGGGAGGGAGGAAAGACAGACAGGGGAGGGAAAGGGGGGGAGGGAGGAGGAAAGACAGACAGGGGAGGGGAAAGGGGGAGGGAGGGAGGAAAGACAGACAGGGGAGGGGAAAGGGGGGGAGGAAAGACAGACAGGGGGAGGGAAGGGGGGGGAGGGAGGGAGGAAAGACAGACAGGGGGGGAAAGGGGGGGAGGAAAGACAGACAGGGAGGGGAAAGGGGGGAGGGAGGGGAGGAAAAACAGACAGGGGGGGGAGGGAGGGGAGGAAAGCAGACAGGGGAGGGGAAAAGGGGGGAGGGAGGGGAGGAAAGACAGACAGGGGAGGGGAAAGGGGGGGAGGGAGGGGAGGAAAGACAGACAGGGGGGAAAGGGGGGGGGAGGGAGGGGAGGAAAGACAGACGGGGGAGGGAGGGGAGGAAAGACAGGACAGGGGAGGGGAAAGGGGGGGAGGGGGGGGAGGGGAGGGGAGGGGGGGGGAGGGGGAGGGGAAGGGGGGAGGGGGTGAGGGGAGGGGAAAACAGACAGGGCAGGGCAGGTCCCCAAATGAAACAAAACCTTTTGGTTTACAAATTATAAAGGGTCTGTTTGGACACTTTCTGGGAATTGTTGTCTACAAGTTCTTGTTCCCTGATATGCTCCCCAATTCTTCCTTCTTGTTACGTGACCAAATCAAATCAGGGGGTGTCTTGGGTGGCATTTGAGGACTGACTCCAGTAGAAAGTTGCTTTTGGTCTTAGCTCTGTTCCTCCCAGAACGCGTAGGGCGGGGAGTGTAAATGTTCACGGTTCTGTCTAGCTCTGCAGGCCTCAACAGTCATTGAAAATAAAGACAAAGTTGCTGCCTTTTTAAAAGAGCCTCTCAAATACAATTGAGCAGACACAACAACTAGGTCGGTCATAATTCAAACCCTGTAGGATAAGATTCTTGGGCCCCTTCATCCAGCTTCCATCTGCCCTTTATTAGAATCCAAAAAAACTTTCCTGCACTGATAGCACTAGAATCTTTCCTAATTCCAGGACACTCTAAATTGCTTTTTGTAAAAGGCAAACAAAAAGGAAGCTGCTGCTATATGATTAATTGAAAACTGTTTGCACTACAAAAAGATAAATAAAAACCCAAAGTCTGTTGTTACTATTGGGTTCCAGCAAATCGCACTGCCAAACACCAAAACATTTTCATTATTTCCCGACCTTCAACTCCGCATCCTCTAACCTGCCCTGAAAACCGTTTACATACACAAACAAACACACACAGGCACACAGACACACACGTACACACACACAAACAACGACAGGTTGAGAATTAGTGCAAAAATCACAAGAGCCATGTGAAGATCTTGTCCATTTTTTTTTTTGCCTCTGATAAAGACAAAATAAACAGTAGACAAGCACACTATAAGGCCTTCATTAGGGTGAGCCTCCTTAAAACATAATGAAGGCACCAGAGTCTCTCCAGCAGTATTAACAGGGATGTACTTCTTGCCTATCAAGGGGATGGTCTGGGTCAGAGAGAGCTGGCTGACCCAGTGGGTGGCACCAGGTGTTATCTGTCTCTGGAACATACTACTTCAATGGCTTGGGATATTACCCTGTTTATTTGGCTGGCTTGAATTTGTCAGGATTCACCCTGTGGTGAGTTAACATGCCTCCATATTGGAAAAAAAAAAAATTGCCCATGGGCCAGTGTGAGCCTCGCACCTAATAGAATACATCTGGCTCTGACAGTTTGATGCCCAGCTCTGAGCCACATTCGGCAACACAAATTAACAGCGTAGACATTGCCCACGCTGAGCAGGAAGTAATAACCTGCTACCTGCTACTTGGCCAAAATCTCATTATAAGCCATTACGGTAATTGAGGGCCAAGACTCCGTGGATATTAGACTCCCTGAGTGCCAGTCGTTAGTTCAGCAGAGGAAAGGCTCTGAAGGCAGGGGGAGGTGGGCCGACTGAGGGAAACCGTGCTTGGCGCCCCAGTGTGCATTCCACGGGCCAGGTGCGCTGTGGTTTCGGGGAGATCTGTGACCTGTTTCTCATCGGCCCTGAAGCCTGTACGACCTCTCCGAGGGGAGCTCAGGACTCCGGGACGATGATGTCACTCTTGGTAGGTCTCCAACACTGCTGTACAATTAAAATTCAGTTTAAATGAAATTGGGGGCAGCCACAAAGGGAAGAAGAGGGCAAAGGAGGTCCCAGTGCTCCATAAGTAATAAGCATACAGGCTGGGTCCAGGAAGGAAAATGGGGGCCCCACCCACCACCCCTGGAAGATGGAGTCTCTCAAATCCCTGCGCATGTGAGCTTCCATTCTTCTGTAGCTGCTAAACCCAAATCCTTCCCTGTAAACTGGACTCCCTTAGTCTCTGCCCATGTTTGGGCAGTGAAGGGTAAAGGAGTGGGGATTTGGGGGGACGGCATCAGGGCAGAAGCCCAAACAATCAGTCAGTCACAACCAGCTGATCAATCCACCTGATTTTTGGTGCCATGGGAATGACTGACCTGTAGTAACGATGACATCTTATCATTAAATGTTTCTGTGAGAGACCTATAGAAGGGAAGGAAGGGAGTCACTGAAAATATAATAAACTGTATCTAGAAATGCTTTCTTCTCCTCCTGTACACAATGACACACACACTGCAATGAGAAACAATTTCTCCAATCATGGGATCAAAGTTATGCAAGATTTTACCTACAGTGCAATAATAGCTCCTGAGTGCACTGTCTTGTCCGGAAACTACTCGAAGCCTGGTTAATAAACCTTCCCAGGAATCCTGAAGTTTCCATTTCATCCTGCCCCAGGTCTCAGTGAACTCTGCCTTGGCATTTGGAAGGAATTCATATTTGGGGGAAAATAAGCACTATGGTGCAAGAAATAAAGTGTCGTTGAGGGTGAGGATGTCTGTGAGCGACCAGTCCATACTCTGAAAACCCCAAGATATTTCCCCCGCCTCAGCCACGTCAGCCTCATTGTTTCCCATCACCTAGAGGGTTAAGCACACTCTGGAGCCTAGAGAAAGGCTGCTGTTGGTACAAGAGAGGCCTTCCCTATAACTAGATTCTTCAGGAAAAAACAAATTAATCAACAGCGAGCTGAAGTGGGTTTAATGATTGCATTCTGCATACAATCAGCTTTTCCCTTTTCAAGGGCCATCAATATGTCAAGGGAAGACATATCTGAAGGATATAGCTCTTAACATCAAGGTTATCTATTCTCCACAAGGCTCCCACTCCTTGCCGGGCTCATACTCCACGCTGCCTGTGTCTAACATTTTCATCAACTCTGCAATCAATCAAGGTAATAATGTTGTGCAAAAAATCAATTAACAACGCAATTAAACTTTCCTTATTATCTCAAAGGGCTGAAATAATACCTAAAGGGAAGATAGACTCACTGAACGCAGACATCCATAATCCAATGTGAAAGTGAATTATGAGGTTGGACAGATGCAGGCATGTGCTGGTGCTGTTATTTTCCAGGGGTGATATCTCATCATGGCAGTGTATCAGTCAGCCCCAATCCCAGACCCTAAAATTCCAAATTACTTTTAAGAAATATATGATGTGCAATATCCATTTCATATTCTCTTTTAAAGATAACCCCCTCCCCTCCAAAAAACTGAACAGCCATATTATTCAAAGACAAAATGATCTTTCAACAAGAACATAAAATATAAAAGCTATAATAACATTTACATCTGTATTGCACACATCTCTGTAAATGCAGGTCATCTATTATACATAATCTGCAGTGCCTAAAAAGCCCAGGATGCAACACAGCATTTAAAACCCAAATGCATAAATGTGCAAGTGCCTTTGAGATGGCTATGGCTTCCCCCAAGTGAAGGTCTCACCCACACATTTGCACACACACAGACATGCACACACGCATGTCGAAGCCTCGGAACAATGGAAGCATTACTCAGTTCACATGAGAATGACCATATTATTTAGCAATTACACCCAACTTGCCCTGAAACGCTGTCTATAGGAATTGAGCATTTATAGTACATAAAAAAGAGATGACTATTAACCTTTTGCTGCAGTGGGGACTACGAAGCACTTGAAATTTCAACTGAAATAAAAAGAACATACTAGACGACAAGAAGTGAGCGTCTTGACATTAATAGAGTCCCCTTTAACTGTTCAGGGTCCACATGCAAGAAATGCTCTGACATCAAGAGAAGATGCTGAAAAATAGGAGAGGGAATGGCCACCAGGGGAGAAAGGTTACTTGAACAGATTAGCAAATCTCAGAGCAAAAACAAGCAAACAAAAAGTGCTGATGGAAGATTAACATTAAACCCTCCGCTTCTGGAATTACAAAACATCAGCACTGATTTAAAAGATAACTATGAACAACCATCAGCTGCTTTTCTCCCTCCTTTTATCATTCTCCATCAGGACACCAGAGGCTTCCTTCTGGCAAAGTTGAATACCCCTGTTTATTGCAGCACTATTTCTAATAGGTAAGACCGGAAACAACCCAAATGCCCCAAAATAGATGACTGGATCAAGACCATGTGGCATATATACACAATGGAATACTATTCAGCAATCAAAAAGATAAACTCATGTCATTTGCAGCAACATGGATGGAGCAAGAAGGAATTATGCTCAGTGAAATAAGCCAGAAGGAAAAAGAAAAATATCAGATGCTTTCACTTATAGGAGGAATATAGGGGAACCAAATAAAACATCAGGGGAAAAAATAATAACAATACAAAATACAGCAAAACAAAACAAACAGATAGTTATAAACCAGAGACATCCTGCAGGAGAGGGGGAGGAAGAGGGATCACAGCGAGGGAGGGAGGAGCACAGGGGCCGGAGGCGATGGTGCACGGGTGCATTGATAAAGGAAATTCTTCTTTTTTTAAAGATTTATTTATTTATTGATTGATACAAGCACTGGGTACAGTCAGAAGCATGGGAGAGAGAGAGAATTCACCAGAGCCAGAGCGGGTAGCAGAGCAGGCCGAAGGACCGAAGTACACTGCTGAGGGGAACAGCGGGCGGCAGGAGAGGTCCGCAAGCCATGTGGGACCCTCCTCCGGTGGCTGGGGAGTGGCCAGGGAACAGCCGGGGATCGAACTGGCACAGCAGAGGCTACGGGCAGCTTCACAGCCCAGCGCTCAAACGCTGCACCATGGGGAGGCCCGGTAAAGGAAATTCTATGGGGATTCCATCTGAAGTGGGTGAAGCAAATATTGTTTAAAAATGAACAATGATGTAAAAAATATATAAATGAAAATAAAATAAAAAAAGATCTAAGCAACATATACGGAGAGCCCAGAGATCCCTGGAGCGGCAAATGCTCAGGACCCAGGTGAACTGCTCTAGGACTGTACAATTCTACATTTGGGCCTCAGAATTGACTATATCAGAATAAGGAAGGATATCTCTGAGTTGATCAGGTATGTTACTAGATTTGCTGCACATTTGGTAACACAACGATTCTCCCAGCAGTGTGGAGTTTCCAAACACACCACCTGGAGCTGTGCAGGTAGGGTGGTTTGAAAATTCCATTGCACAACAACCATTCCTATTTTTTTAAGTTACTCACTCTTAACAAGGACCCATCTTCTTAAGCCACCTTTCCCCCACTTTCAGTACAGCCAGGAGGCAAACTGAGCCCAAGGGCATATTTACATAAACAGTAAAACAAGATACACACAAATGCTCACTCCCTAATTTCTTCAGAGAAATAAGGAACCAACTAGTGATGTACTCTTTGATCCAGAATTTCAACAGAGAAATCAAATAGGTTAGCAGATCCTGCCATTCCTCTCCTAACCTTAAGGAACAGAATTAATATGTTTTCATTTTCAATGACTATATTGTGTGTGTATCCACTGGAACTGCTCCTGCTGTGTAGTTGATTCCACTGACGATGGGGTGGGTTGGATTTTAAACGATGTGTGAGCACTTCTGTTCTTTCTGTGTTCTGGTTTATGTGTTATTCATGACTTGCATTACAGACATGGCTGATACACAGATGTAAATGTTATTAAATCTTTTGTATTTTAGAGGCTTTGTGAAAGGCTTCTTTGTTTTCAAATAATTCTCTTAACCACCAAAAATAACCAGTAATACATGACAATGTCTTGGGAATTTTTTTTAACTGAATTTTCTAATGAAGAGATGTTCTCCCCTCTACTGCTACTTTTGCATCAAAATAAAAAGCAAAATACACTGACTGATGAAGAGTTATATCTTTATAGTACTTGTCAAGAACAAATTCTTACCTTTGGGTATGCGTGCACAAGTGTGAGTTGTGTGGTTTGTGTGTGTGTGTTATGGGTGGGTTTGTGGGACCCCTAAGTGTGCACTGCAGTATGTGTGTTTTCCTGTCCATTGTGTTACACATTAGGAGTGTCTTGTGTGTGAGTCCTATGTGTCAGTGTATATGTGTGCACAAGGTGTGTTGGGGGGTGTGAATATGCTGACATCATTGACCCAGTCAGAACTCAGTCACCCAGTTCTCAAATACTTGCCAAGTGACGCAGGTGCCTGACCACGGTTTGGTTCTGACATATTTTTTAATCTGTTTTCACTTTGCTCCAACCTCTTCACATTGCTTAGGATTTCAATAGAGAGGATGAACCTCTTCTGACAGACAGCACTTTAATCAGTCTGTGCCTCTTGCTGACTCACTTTCCTTTATTGATTTTAAATTTGAACAATGCCCTGAGTTTTAACAATGCACTTTCACAAATACAGATGACTTGCCTGAAGGAGGTCAAGAAAGATGTACATTTCAGTCCTGAGATTAGTAGCCCAATGATGAAGAATTCTGAAAGGACTCAGGCCCTCTCCCCATCTTCAAGGAACTTGATTTTTTTTTTTAAGATTTATTTATACAAGAACCGGGACACAGGCCATATGCGCAGGAGGGTGAGAGGATTCACTAGAGACAGAGTGGGGAGCAGAACAGGCAGATGGACTGAAATACACTGCTGACGAGAGCAGCAGGCAAGACAGGAGAGGTCTGCTTTGCCATGTGGGATTCTCACTGGCCGGCCGGGATCGAACCCACGCTGCAGAGGCTGCGGACAGCTTCACAGTGTGGCGCTCAACCGCCTGCACCACCAGGGAGGCCCATCATGGCACTTGATTTTATAAGTGTTCTTTTGGGAAGAAGAAAGTTCCTATCAACTCTGGGAAGTGTGATAGAATCTCAAGATCAAGTTCTAGCTCCTGGTCTGTAGTAACTGTCCTATGCAACTTAGTCAATCTCTCTGCTCCCTAGGGACCATTTCTGTTCCAAAGGACAGAACCACTCTGATCTTCCAGGTAGATGTCCACAGCTTACACAATTGACTCAAAGAATAGACCATGCCCATTCCATGTCTCTCTCACTCTCTTTCTTTTCTTGATATTATCTCCTTCCCTTCTAGAATATCTCTGGTGTTCATACTTCCCCTTGCCTCTCTTGTGACTTCAGCTCCCGAATCAAAATATAAATGTCCTCTTTCAGACCCCTGTCCTTTCACACCTTGTCTAAATAACAATTGGTCATCTGGTCAACTTATTCACATTAGGAC